ATGAAAACAACAGCATTGAAGGAATAGAAACACAAACGAGTCAACGACCAATATAAATGAGTTGCACATAAAACATTGTCCCATGAAATTGCGTACAAAATGAAGCAGATATTGCCATTCAAAAAAATTACTGCAGCATTCATATACGAGAAATTATTAAGAATAACAGAAAAAAAAGAATATGCAATTCAGGAGTGAATAAATGACCAACCTTCCATGCATTCGCAGTGTGAATCAAGAAATGTTATCACCGGTCCCTTTGCAACAGCCGCACCTTTTAAACGAGCTCGAATTAAACCTTCACGCTTCTCCATCCTTAGTATACGTACCTTTTTCAATGTCGCCATATATTCTTCTAAGTCCTTCTGTAACATTTCTTATGAATATCTCCTAAATTATAACTGTTCAACAGCATGTTCACATCGGCATTTCAGCAGCAGTTTTTGACATCCAAAAATTCTTACAATTAATCACGAACTCATCGCATTTGTTATGTGCGATGTGTTTGATAAATGATTATAACAACTAAATTCGTTGAGCAAATAATTAATTCTTTACACGACTAACTTTTCAAATATTTTTCCTCTTCAACATCAACACTAAGCTAAATGATATTCAAACGAACCTTCAGATGTTCCATATTCGAAAAATCGTCAACCAAAATCACTTCTGTGAGTAAATTGCTTGGTGTCCTTTCGATGACGCTATGTACTGTTCGGAGTAATACTGACCATGCTTCATTATGGAAACAAATTATTACCGATGTACTCGGCAATTTTTCTGAATATTTTTCCGTTTTGCATCTACAAAAAACAAAAAATACTTCCTTGATGATATCAATCAAGATAATAGGATAAACGGAGCTGAACACATAATCATATGAATTGCACTAAAATTCTAAATCTTCGACAGCTTACAAATACTTCTATCGCTCATTTTTCAAGATTTTCACCTAATTAAATCAATCACTACAACGATTATGAAGACGTTTGAATATAGACAACATACAACCAACAGCAAAGAGCTGTACGGACTAGATATTATTTTGGATAAAAACAGGAATCATTTGACTGTTGAAAAGCCTTTTACACCCGCA